TCGAAGGATGGGAACGCTCGATCGAACAGACTCGCCGACAGGTTCTCGAAAGGGTCGAAAATGCTGCTCCCGAAGAAAGGGTCGAACACACTGTTCCCGAACGCTCGTGGAATCAAAGCCATGGTGGAACTTCGCTCTAGACTGCAGGAAGATCAGAACTCAACAATTCGGTGTCGATCTCGGAAGGGCACGTGCAAGCAAGAAAGCCAAAAGCTTGAAGTCTGTGCTTCACTGATCACGGTGCAATGATCGCTTGAGGAAATTGTCTGAACACTGATTTGATTGATGGAAACCCCAAGCCCTGGCGTGGTATTTATAGGCCCCATAATGTGTTTCCTTCGCTCTCACACAACGAGCGCATGAAATCTTTCTAAATTCCTCGAGACATCATTGGTCCATCCTAGAACCCTCTCGATAACTCGAGGCTGTGCAGGTGAGAGCGACATCGAATGCTCGAGGCTTCCACAGTGCCCCATGAACGAGGTGGTGTACTCTCCCGGAGAGTCTAGTACCATCTCGTCGTCGATTTTCACGGTGGCCGACTTCTCTAGAAATATGCATGGATCGTGCTCCATCACGTCGGAATTCGGCTGATCCCGGTAAGCCCTGGCCATTTTCCCGGGGACCGGAAGTCTCATAATAATCTCGAAATATACATGGCGACTACACTCCATCTTTCGAAATTTGTGGAACGGGTTTAGAATCGTTTCGTTTTTGCTGGCGTAGTGGTTTGACTGCAATAACCATGGAATGGTTTATTGTGTACCATGGCTTTTTACTCTTTTCCCCTTTTCTCGAGGAATATTTTCGTTTCCGGAGTAAGTTGTCTTTTCTTTTCATTTTTTCTGATTAATCATTTTCTCTACTCCTAACGAGGTTTATATTAATGTGTCGCACTCACGCATCACTGTCTTAGAAGCGCAGAAGATTCTTGTGATTTAGTATATCAGGCTTTTCTTTGTATGTGAGCTTCTAACCTTTGATGAGGAAATCCAACATAAAGGAAAAATTAAATTTCGTATTCAAGTTCATGTTCCCGTACTTTTCAATTGCTATTGAAGATGTTTGGATCATTTGATAGGTACAATGGCGAATGTGAGTTCATTGCCAAGACTTAGAAAAGTTTCACCCGACCCAAAACTGAAGCTCCTGCAGAATTTAGCCCTGAAACCCCAAAATCTGTTCAATTTCTATCTCGTACTCGAAACTGAAAATATTACTAAGCGGATCGCAAGCGGGTCACAGTCACTGAACAGGGAACTTTCAACTCGGACATGATTCCTGATTAGAGAAAACTGTCCCCTTTAAAACAGTTGCTATAGTGGCTGGATCACCCAGTTTCATTTCTTCTTCTTTAGCCACTTCTGTACTCACTGTAATAAATGTATGTGCCAATCTAGTGTGAATTCTTAAATATTGCGCTATTGTTAGAAGTGCATTACCGTGAACGCTTTACACTAATTTAACTCATATATGGGTAAAAGAAATCACATTAAACAATGTTTGTGTACACTAAATGGGGATTGGAAAATTCGCTCAGTTCTCAATTCTCAAAACTTGGCCCTCATAACAAACTCTTGTAGGTTCAATGACACCAAAGAAAGTGTTTCATTCAACACACTTTAAAAAATGTTTCCCGTTAGAATTCTCTACGCAATTAATCATCCACTCTAAGTAGTGTGCATCGTGCGAAATTAGTAAAACAGTGTATACTATATCAATTTCTCACTGTAAATTAAACAGGGGGTTCCGAATGACATCCATTTCCAAAGAAGAGTCCATTGTCATCGTAAGTAAGTACGATATATTGAACCTTTTTGAAGCATTTTAGTTCATTTGTCCATGTGCGCCAGAACGTGGCGTATTAGCGGGGTCCTTTAAAAGGGTCGGTCCCCGAAAATGGGGAACTGAAATTGGGGGTTTCGGGAGAGTACTCCTATAATATTTGGGTTTGGAGGAAGTAAAGACCGAACCCGTAAGAGACTTCTAAAATTTATTAGTCATTGTTGTCTATAAGTGGGAGTAATGACGTTTTCAGTACGTGAATTTATTCCTCGCTAATTGAATTGAACTCTTGCTCGCCGTATGGGACTTGGAACATGTGTTTCATTTCCACGGAGTGACAAATATTCCTTCATTTTGGAGCCTTCGAGAGAGTGACGTAGAGAAATATGGATGGATGTAAGATCTTTTATAAAGAGCACTTACAATATTTGTGACAAGTATAATGACACAAGGATCTGAGAGTTTATAGGTTTTGTAATTGGAAGGTTTGATTTTGACTCGAACCAAGAGAATTCTATATCAATTTAAAATGTATGGATCTCCAAAATCTTATCATATAATAAAGTTGTTAAAGTTTAAGAAACAAGATTTTGTGAGGAGTAAGTAAAAATCGTTTACAAAAGAATTTATGGAATATATAATTTCTTTTTTTTAAGAAGTTTAGCAGTACGATTTTCTAAACTAACTTTTGATCCTTGGTATTTAATTACTTTTGCCGAAAATTTATTTCTTTCTTGCACCTTCATAAATGTCCTGTTGTAAATAAATACCAGATTTATTTTTGGAAACAAAGATGATGATTCATATGATAAAATTAACAAATGTTAAATGTGATAATTTAGATGGTATTTCTATCAAATTTTTCAAATGAGGAAAAGATATTATTGCATCAATTCTAATTAAAATGATAAAAATCATTGTTATGTATGGATTTATTTCAATCTAGTATTTAGGGAAAATTATTTTTATTCATAAATCAGGATGTAATTACTTGATGACAAACTATCTCACTATCATGATATATAGTGTTATTGTCAAGTTGTTTAGCAAATTGATGGAGTCAAAGTTAAACACATGGATTAAATCTCATCAAAAGAAAATGAGGTTCCAAGCAAGTTTTTTCTAATGCTCCGATCAGGTCGGGGTTGGATCAAGTTTCACCTTCAATCCGAATCCGACCTGAAAAACCGGATCAGATTTGGGTAAAACCATGGGGATCCATGATCGTGATGGTACGGCGAGGGAGTAACCGGAAATTGGAGCTGCAAGTATTTTCTTGACGAGAAGACGATTGGAGAAATTTTCAAGGAGGCAGTACGAGCAGCATAGGTCAATCTTCAGCTTGTTCTTCATAATATTGTGTACAAGCAACAAAATTGCAGACATATGTAGATCCACCAGCTCATCGAGCACAATTTTGGGAGCTAGCCAGTTATAGTGATGTAGGATAATCTATTTATATGTAATTCCATGAATTCGTAAGATCACGTAGATGTAACTCACATGACAAAAAACATCACGCTTTGTGCATTAAGTTATCATAAAAGTTATCTGTCAATCTTGGCAATCAGATGTATCTCAGTTTTTTTTTATCACACGCGTCGAAATATTTTGTTCATGGTAGAACCTGAATCGAACCGCGGATATCCATGATCGTGAGTGGAGGAACGGCAAGGAAGAATTGGGAAATTAGAGCTGCGAATATTTTTTTGACGAGGAGACGATGCGAGAATTTTTTGAGGAGGTAACGCAACACGGCCCAGCTAGACACAAAAGAGGGGGAGCGAGTGCCTGCATCGCATCGAGCGAGGTGCGCAACAGGCGGGACGAGGAGGAGGTGTCCCAGACACGAGGAGAGGAGCAGAGTTTCGCAAGACTGAGTGGAAGCCGATGGAGACGACTACGTACCAGCTTGGATTGCAGCTGAACTCTTATCTATCGTTGCTTTACTCATGTCAGCATAATCTGTTCATATATCTCCGGTTGTTGTCTTCAACAACCTTTGACGATTTACATAATGCTCCGCTATTGACATTTGAAAAAGTTTTGCGAGGATGCTTCCAATGTCTTGTCGCTTCGGTGAATCATCTGATCGCAGCCTCTAAGTTCTCAGCCTTCTTTTTATAAGAAAGTCTATCCCGGAATTCTCGGATAACAAAACATCATCTCGTTCCAACGGCTCTGTCCGCCTAGCTTAATTTTTGGATTTCAGGTCGGGTACAGCCCTCTATTCAAACCCGGACCCGAACTTGGATTTTTGGATTTTATGCAAATTCGATCGAAGCACTAGTTTTTTCCCTTCATACACCACTTTTGATTATATCTTGACCTTGAATGTTATATGGGAGAAATCTGAAGGTAATGGAAAAGTTTTGTTTGAGTTTTATTGATTATTGAACTTTTTAGCTCTTATGGGAAAGGATTCAAGACATTAGAGTAACACCAGATCTCCTAACAACTATGATTACATTATATCATTTTGTTTGGGCCAAGATCAATATTTCTCAAACTAAAGAGATTTCATTATACTTTAATAAGATGATGCTTCAAAGAGTCAAAATTCACTTTCATAATATTTGCTGGTTTCACTTGATCGATGAAGAATGAATGTTGTTGTGTTGGCGATTTAAAATGGGTTTAGGGTTTCAAGTTTTCGATATATAGAGAGATGGATTTTAATTCTTGTCTTCCACGCGAGTGATCACTACCTTATTCAAGTTTCCATCCAATATGCTCTACTAGAGATTTCAACGGAATTGATTCGCTGTGATGAGGGAGTCTTACACCACAGTAGCCTGCGTAGGCACATTTCAAATTTTCATTTGCACCACATTCGTCGATTTCCTAATATGTTTTCTTCATGTCAGTATTATATTCCACGCCTTGATATTCTAGTACATTCGCACACTAGACTGCTGAGTATTTGGTTTAGTTTGACAATATATTTAAGTTTTTTCTTCATGAGAGTGAAGAGTATTTCAAATTTTTAGCTAGTGTGCAAATCGTGACAGAGCTGCAAGTATGTACTACTGAATATGCTCAACTCGAATAATTTGTAGAAATAAGCCAAATATTTCAACTAGCATAGCATAATTGTTGTATACGTCAAATCTGTTTACAGATATTATGAAGAGCAAATCGAACGAATAAATGCGATCAATACTTACACTATTTTGTTTAATTTTATTTATATTTTTTTGAAGCTTAAGCAAGCTCAGCAGCCTTTTACAAGCTTTCTCGCTTCGCTATTTAACGTAGCGGAAAAAATTCTTCAAACGAAAACTCTCTATGTCCAGGTACATGGCTGCATATATTGCAGGAATGACTACACGCTTGGATGTGGGCACTACTAGATCAGGTGCACGATCAAATGACTATAAGCTTTACAGTGAGAACAAGTACCCAGCCATCCTTCATGCTATCTGACTCTGTTATCTTTACAGTGTGGATTATGTATATAGTAAAATTGACGCTTTATTACAAAACTGACCTAGTGATTACATTCTGCGAACTGGATGAGAGTGACTGCCTGTATCTGTTGCTCCGTGGAATTTCTCTTTACCCATAGTATGCGATCGTTGACTACTCGATCGAAGTTCGCATGCAGTCGTCACTGGCAGTCGGTGAGCACTATTTCCATCGCACAGCGGTATGAAGAGAGGGAAATGTGCCACATTCGTGTATAGTTCACGGCACCTCATGCTCTAACCGGTAATCTCGACTGTTCGGATTTCTGATTTCTTCTTGGACTCTTCGGTCTTGGGGACAGTGACTGTCAGCACACCATTCTCCACTTTGGCAGAAATCTCTTGAGCTTTGGCGTTTGCCGGCAGCTTGAACTGCCGGAAGAATTTGCCGAAAGAGCGCTCACTTCGCCGGTAGTTGTCCTTCTCATCCACTTTCTCCTTGCTGCGCTCTCCGCTGATGCTCAGAACCCCATCGTCTGCCACTTGAATCTTAATCTCGTCTTTCTTCATGCCTGCCAGACACCACACAAAACATCCATCAGTCACAAAGTAAAATAATCAACAGAAAAAATTGTAAAGATCGACATGGTGATAACCAGGCAAGATTCCTTTGTCTGGACGAGACACAATTAGCGACAAGCTTAAGAGACGAGCACAGATTCCAGCGAATTTCCTGTGACTCGGGGTGAGCTTATTGGGCTATGAGCCTGCTTGAGTCGGATGATCGAGAAGGATATGACATTCTTCACACTCTTCTCACCAACTCAGGTAGACAGAACTGGCGCCTTCTTATTCCCTAAGATGACCGGTCGAAGAGAAATGAAGAGGATGGGCCTGGAAGAGCTTACCAGGAAGATCTGCCTTGAAAACGTGGGCCTCCGGAGTCTCCACCCAATCGACGCGCGTATTGGCGACTGCACTCACATCTTTGTCGAAGGATGGGAACGCTCGATCGAACAGACTCGCCGACAGGTTCTCGAAAGGGTCGAAAATGCTGCTCCCGAAGAAAGGGTCGAACACACTGTTCCCGAACGCTCGTGGAATCAAAGCCATGGTGGAACTTCGCTCTCGACTGCAGGAAGATCAGACAGAACTCAACAATTCGGTGTCGATCTCGGATGGGAACGTGGAAGTAGGCAAGCCAAAAGCTTGAAGTCTGTGCTTCACTGATCACGGTGCAATGATCGCTTGAGGAAATCGTCTGAACACTGATTTGATTGATGGGAACCCCAGGCCCTTGCGTGGTACTTATAGGCCCCATAATGTGCTTCCTTGGCTCTCACACAACGAGCGCATGAAATCTTTCTAAATTCCTCGAGACATCGCTGGTCCATCCTAGAACCCTCTCGATACCTCGAGGCTGTGCAGGTGAGAGCGACATCGAATGCTCGAGGCCATGAACGAGGTGTGTACTGTCCCGGTGATTCTAGTACCATCTCGTCGTCGAATTTCACGGTGGCCGACTTCTCTAGAAGTATGCATGGCCGTGCTCCATCACGTCGGAATTCGGCTGATCCCGGTGAACCCAGGCCATCTTCCCGGGACCGGAAGTCTCATAATAATCTCGAAATATACATGGCGAATACATTCCATCTTTCGCAATTTGTGGAACGGGTTTAGTTTCGTTCCGTTTTTGCTGGCGTAGCGGTTTGACTGCAATAACCATGGAATGGGCTATTCTGTACCATGGCTTTTTACTCTTTTTACTCTTTTCCCTCTTTCTCGAGGAATATTCTCGTTCAAGGAGTAAGTTGTCTTGTCTATTCACTTTTTCTGATTTAGAAACTTCTCTACTCCTACCGATGTTGATATTGATGTTTCACACTCACGTGGATCCATCATTACTGTCTTAGAAAGCGGAGAAGATTCTAGTGATTTATTATATCACGCTTTTCTTTGTATGTGAGTTTCCAATCATTGATGAGGAAAGCCAACATAAAGGACATATTAAATTTCATATTGAAGATCATGTTCCCGTACTTGTCAATTTGTTGTCAAGGATGTTTGGGTCATTTAATAGGTACAATGGCGAATGTGAGTTCATTGCCAAGACTTAGGAAAGTTTCACCCGACTCAAAACTAAAGCCCCTGCAGAATTTAGCCCTGAAACCCCAAAATTTGTTCAATCTCTCCCTCGTACTCGAAACTGAAAATATTATTAAGCGGCTCAGTCACTGAACAGGGAACTTTCAATACGGACAAGATTCCCGATTAGAGAAAACTGTCACTTTTAACATAGTTGCTATAATGGCTGGATCACCCAGTTTCATTTCTTTTCCTTTAGCCACTTCAGTCCTAACTATATAAATGTATGTGCCATTCTAGTGTGAATTCTTAACTGTTGAGGTCTTGTTAGAAGTGCATAACCATCACCTCTTTACACTTATTGAACTTATATATAAGTAAAAAAAAATATACATTTAAAGAATGTTTGTGTACACCAAATGGGGATTGGAAAAGTCGCTCAGTTCTCAATTCTCAATACTTGGCCAAGTTGTAGTCCCTCATAACAAAAAATAATTTTGTCCAATGACACTAAAGAAAGTGTTCTATTCAACACAATCAATGTACTTTTAGAATCAACCCCAATTAACCATTTCATTGTAAGTAGTGTGCATCCTGCGAAATTACTAAAACAGAGTATACTAAATTAATTCCTGATTGCGGATTAAACTTAGGGGTTCCGAATGCTTTCCATTTTCCAACGAAGAGTCCATTGTCATCGTGCGTAAGTACAATATATTGAAGCATTTTGCACTTCCTTTTTCCACGAGACATGGAGAAAGGAAGTGCAAAATGCTTCAATATATCGTCACCTTGTGGCGCACATGGACCATGTGCGCCAGACTCTTATAATATTTGGGTTTGGAGGAAGTAAAGACTGAATCCGTAAGAGACTTCTAAAATTTATAGATTAGTCATTACTGCCTATAAGTGGGAGTAATGAGGTCTTCAGTACATGAATTTGTTCCTCGCTACTTGAATTGCCGTCCTGATCACCGTCTGGACGTGGAACATCTGGTTCCTTTAAACGGGGTGAAAAATATTCCTTCATTTTGGAGCCTTTCAGGAGACGGCGGTAGAATATTATGGATGGACATAATCACTTACAATGTTATCAGAGAATGCTTAATGCACCAAGGACATGTTCCCCGAAAGGTTCTTATATAAAGTCCTGAATAAAATCACTCGATTTACTCCACGGAATGCAAAACACTATTCATTTTACATTATGGGAAGCCATGCACCACAAAGTCATCTATGAACCAGTACTAGTTTTTACTTATATTTTTAGTACTGAAGATTGGGGTAAGAATTGTCACTTTCGGAGCAAAATACTGTCACGATGTACTTTCATTTCACTTCAGCCAGGTTCCATTACGAGTTCTTGTAACCTAAAAGTTGACGGCTATAGTGAGAGAAGATTGATTGCCCTTCTTGGATCAAAATACTCTCACAAGTGTCATTACGCCCCATCGCACAAAAATTAATGGGACCCACTAAGTTTCGTTTTACTATATGATACCTAAAAAGTATCCTTTCCTTTACATATATGAGGGTGAAGGTTTATAGAGTCTTAAAATGTTTGTGCAATATCTTATGACAAATCAGATTCCCCGGAAATATTATCATAACTCATGGAACAAGCGCGAAACAAACTCTCTTCTCGATCAATGCATTCCTTCTCCCTACTTCATACCACTACACAAATTCGGAGAGCATTATAATCAACTCAACTACCGAATTGGGGCAAGAAGGGCTTACCTTTGCAAAATCGTCTCATGACTGCCAAAGGTTGAGGCGGATCGGAAAGCTGTTACATTTGATGATCAGCTATGATGGTCGGATTTGTGTCCGGGGCGAGAAGAAGTGAAATGTAGAGTGTGAAGGTGGAGACGAGGAAGACGTTCGGAAGTATATTGCTGATGCACATACTCAAGAGATGTGCTTTGAACAATGCACCATGTAGAGAAAGTCACAATTGTTCGCACCTTTGATTGATACTAGAACAAAGTTGACGTGTTTGTAGTTGGGATCCCATAGGGTAAAATGAAATTCGATAAATCCCAATAAATAGTTTGTGTTATGAAAGAGTACCATCAAGTATATATCTCGTCACCCATGTTTCAATAAGAGATCTTGTAACCTGATAGTTATAGTATGAGAGGATTGATTACATCTTTTGGACAAAAGTACTCTCTCTGAGTACTTAGGCCATGAGATCCAAGTGTTCCCATCAAAATCTATGAATAATTGTTATGACGTGAAATTCAAAAAATCCATCTTTGTAATAAAAACTGTCATGCACACCTTGACACTAATATTCAGAAACTCAAGTCACACTCTTTGAATATTGTGGTTATGATTTTTGGGCAGCTTTGTAGATACCAAAATTGTAAACTTGTAGCTTTATGCACAAAATTAATTTCAAAAATTCTTTGATTTCCAAAATATTGTATCTGTGGATGTCTTTTTGGTCCATTTTGAAGTTTCGAATTCTCACTCAGTAGAGTTCGTGAGAGTTTCATAACCTCCGTTGGTCGGGGTTCTATTTTTTTTTTGGGTACAGAACACCCACTAGGATCACTACAATGTGTTGCACTTTACTCAGAACTCCTATCACAACATGGATGACAAGGTGGGTGCAGCACATCGTGGGCTAAAATGAATCATGTTTGGTGTTAACAAGTGTTTTGAGTTATACAATATACCATCACATATTTTTCTCTTAAATTTTCCACATTTAAATGTGCAAGTGCAAATTTGACATTCAAATTAACACAAGCATACAGTATCTAGCAATGACTCATGCTGCAGTGAGCTTGACTTTAAAAATCTGAGGTGAATACGGGGATCTACGACTTAGTGACTAAGAGTTACTAGATAAAATATTGCTTTTGTAGTTATTCCATTCTCTCAATCACAAAGCACAACATTATTGGCCAGGGAGTTGTTCGTCTGTTGGTACGAATGTATGAGGCCTACTTTAGGGTTAAGACTTTGACAATATTATTCCAGAACTGCACTAATCGAAGAATAAATAAGAGTACCCGAAAAAGGGTGTCTACCTTACCATTCAGAGAAGAGAACATTCTACCGATTTCTACGTGGTCGGAGAGAGGCTACTGGATTCCCCGAGACACTTCGTCAGCCCACCACGTTCGTGGACCTTCGCGTACGCGGTTGGATACAAGGCGTCGATATTCAGATCGAGGTCGATTATGTAACGCCTTGTGGCGTTGCCGAAGCTCGAGAGAGTTCTGGTGCCAATCAGGCGGCGACGACGTTGCCAACGTTCTAGATTAGTGTCGATGCTCTGATTCTGAGAGCGGCGCAGGATTGATGCTCGATCTCGAGAGCTATAAATTCCATGCACATGCTTCGGGTTCTCATCATTCGGTAGTCTGCAAGCTACAAGCATTCTGTAAAGCAATTTGTCGGATCGAGATACTTGAATTGCTGTCTTAGATTTTCGATCGCCGTCTGGAGGTGGTTTTGGGAGAATTCGCGAGGGTTTTTTGATTCGAGGTGAACTATGGCGTTGATTCCGCGAGCGTTCGGTAGCACCGGGCTCGACCCGTTCTTTGGGAGCAGCATTTTCGACCCTTTTGAGAGCCTGTCTGGAAGTCTGTTCGATCGGGCCTTCCCGACGTTGGACAAAGATGTGAGCGCAGTCGCCAACACTCGTGTCGACTGGATGGAGACTCCGGAGACCCATGTCTTCAAAGCAGATCTTCCTGGTAAAATCTCTCGATGCATACTCGCTCATCAAGTATTTATGTTGCATACTTCCTCCCTCTTTGAAATTCGGTCCATCTCGTGTGATAGAATGTTATCGGTTCCGTTCGGAGGAGTATGCATGCGTTCGTAAGCTGAGTTTTTCATCTTCCTGCAATTGAGCTCAGTGCTGGCGTTGTAGTCTGCGATCGTCCTCTAAGCTTCTGATCTATCATGTCTTTTGTAGCTGTGAGAAACTCTTGAGACAAAATCCTAGATTTAGTTGACACGTCGCTTGGAATTAACGAATCTCATGACGTCTGACAGGCATGAAGAAGGACGAGATCAAGATTCAAGTGGCGGACGATGGGGTCTTGAGCATCAGTGGAGAACGCAACAGGGAGAAAGTGGACGAGAAGGACAACTACCGACGAACTGAGCGTTCCTTCGGAAAATTCTTCCGGCAGTTCAGACTGCCATCAAATGCCAAGCCTCACGAGATTTCCGCCAAAGTGGAGAACGGTGTGTTGACAGTGACGGTGCCCAAGACTGAAGAGGCCATGAAGAAATCAAAAGTTCGAAACGTGGAAATCACCGGCTAGAGCTCCAGATCCCCGCAGGCGGTGGTGTACATTCTGCGAGTCCTTTGTGCATGATCTGAATAGTGCAGTTTCTCTTCACTTTGAACGGAAATCGTTTGGAAGTGTGAGTAGACATTCGAGTGGTAGTGACCTTCGGTGTAGTTGCTATCAAACAATACGACGTCCGAGCAGTGAACGATCAAATTTCCCGACAGAAGTAGATGCGGGTTTACATGCTCTAGAATTCAGAAGATTTGACATGTAAGAGCCTAATTGTCAGTGCATCCTACGTATAATAAAGCATTAGTTTCAGCGTATACATGACCAAGAGTTGAAAGCTGACTTTGATGAGATGATGTGCCAGCATCCAAGCACTTCTTTCTCCCTGCAATTAGTGGCGATTCGCTTCTAGATGGTAGTCGATATTGGTTGCCATGGAATACGAGTCCTGAACATGAAATTTTCTGTCATATTCTGAGTGAGTACTATCAGATTCTACTCGTACGATATAGCAATTTGAATTAGATCAGATGCGAGAATGTTTACATTTCCAATATGAGCACGAATGTTAGCAGTTCATGGAAATTGTCTATAAACAACGGGAGAACAACAGGAACATTATCTTTGGCAGTGAGAACGGGTAGCTTCGACCAGAAAAAAAGCTGCGTGGAACAAGTCACAGTTGATCGTTTCCATTGTAATTGGGAAATTTGAATGCGCGTTCACTGGGAGCATTCGAATATATCCCTCATCATTGAAGCACTACAGCAAGAAAGAAAGCAGTACAAAGTAGTCCCTGGTAATTCATCACATCGCTGCAGCTAAAGATTTTGCCCAGTGGAGTTCATCCGAGATGGCCATACGTAAACATGGTGTGATATGGGCACGGCGTTTGCTACTGTGTAGAACTGTTCTCGGGGTCCAATGGCACGTCAAGATAGAAGGTTCTAATCACAGGACGATTGGACTTCCTTGTGAGAAGCCGATGAGCTCACAATAAGCTAACTCACAGAGCACCACTGCAAAGCAAGAGTTATGATGTCTATTGACATCATAACGCATACAAATATAATAATCTAGCGCTATCGAATTGAGAAGCAAGTTGGAGAAGTTCATGTGGATCTGAGAAGGAGGAGATGGCTGGGTTTGAAATCTTCAAGCTTGCAAGGGTACATGTCATCAAAGTAGTCGATTTAACAATTGCTGAGTTGGAAGCTTTTCAGGAGAAATGTAAACCTTAAAATTCAGTCTTTTCGAGGTAATTTGAGATTTAACAATTTTAATCACAAAACTTCAGCAGTGATTTGATGTTCTTCGACTGGCGAAGCTGGCTGAAGAAAAAGTCTGTCTAATTAATCTAGTAAATACGGAGCCCCCGAGGTTTCACATGAAACGGGAGGAAAATGTTAGTTTCAGTGCCTGATATTTGTTCTATAAGCTGGTGCATGACTCCATGAAAGGGTTGTAGGTACATTGAATCTAAGTGCACAGCGGATCAAAAAAGCACCCCTAGAGAACATGCTACCGCCTTTCATAGGGCGACGTCGACTACCTCAGTCCGTTTTCACTGAGGCTTGTAGTAAGATAAAAGGGGACCAAATAGACAAAAAGAAATGGACGAAATAAGAATCAGTGAGTTCGATTCTTCTTTCTACCTTACAAGCTTTAGTTCTGCAAATTTCCTCCTCAAATGTAAATCAGAAGATTCAGAGTGGGTTTAAGTCTTCACTTTCATAGAGCGTACTGGACCAAATAAGCCTTCAGAGATTGATTTACTTAGTTGCCCTTGACCTTCATGGAATTTGACATATTTTCTGGCACGTACGCTAGCGTTTCTTCGGGGCACAGAGTGTACCAAAAAAATGGTTATAGCGCATTTCCAGCCCTCGTTGTGATGATTGGGCTATGAACAGTGCCAATGAATAGAAGCTCAAGTCTCAACTTAGAGTCTTGCAAATCATTACTGATTTGTAACTTTTAGGGCAATTGAGAATAATAAAATTTGGAAACGGTTAAAAACTGACGGTATCCTGAAGACAAATCGGCGACTTCAAGGCGTCTTACCATCCTGGTGAAATTCTTGCCTGCATAGCGAACTTAAAAGATCAAATATCAAAGTTCAGAGCAGGATAAAACAACTCATATCAGTAGAAAACGTTTCATTGAATCTGGATTTATAAGTAATCCATTTTTTTATAAATATATATATGTAAACAAATCATGGTCCTATCATGAAACCCACAACAAAATTCACGAAACTGTATCATGTAAGAAGGTAAAAGAAGCGAAAATACCATAGGTTTTCAACCTGGAGGGGACAGGACATTTCTCGATGTGTCAATGGATCATTGAAATTTGAAATCAGTGACAATCCGGTAGATAGCCCATTTTCGGTAGAGATTACATTAAACTGATAGAGAGAACTTCTTCCAATGGGACTCCATTCTCTGTCTAAAGAAATGAGATCTCGGTTCTTTAGGGACTTTTAAGAGAGTTGTGGTCTTTCAAATGTAAAGCTTAATTTTGTGTTAGGATACAATTCTCATCCGTTTTAATATGGATAAAGTTTCTAGCTATTTTCCACACTGCAGACAATCCTGTAGGGAGACGTTATTAAGTTTTACTAGTTTTTCACGTGTTTCACTCGTTATATAATGACACGTCCGCCATTTTTCATTCGGCTTCATTGGTATCAAAACATAAGATTGAACAGAGAGAAGAAGAAATTCGAGACCTTTGTTTGAAGTAAGACTGAAAGATTTAGAGCAGCTTCTAAGCTGAAGGCAATCTGTTCCGAGCTGGTTACCAAGATTAGAGGACAAGGTGCAGGTGTTTCTGAACATAACTCGTTATCCGTTTATAGATAACCTCCAGAACACACGCCCAATGATTTATATACCAAGTAAGCCAATTTAGTTCAGAGTTCGTATACGATTCGGGTGTATGCAACCCAAGGGGAAACACTGAATTTGCCGCATATCCCGTATGTAACGTCTACGCATCAGGTCACTCTGCGTGAAGATATAGTCAAGGTTCATGTGAGATATCCAAATGTTGCAATATTGATTGTGATTGTAGAGACCCCAAAGGAAGTAGGAATCTGTGAGATTGAGCAATTTGACGTTCCCTTCAACCAGACCGAAGTGTATTAAGAATTGAGGGAAGTTGACATTAGTCTCGGTTCCTATGAATGCCGATGCGACTGACCCTTACGAAGAGTTAATTACAAGTTGCTGTCAAGCTCTCCTATCCATTGTACATGTTCGCTGGACTTCTGATGACGGACACAGAATCACCCTCTATCGCATAAGACTCTTGCCACCCTTTTCTATCCAAGGGAAAGAACTTCAAGTCTCTGCAACTATCTGCTGTCAAGAAGACAAGGTTTACATTATCTACGGTAATTTTGACTTCTAGAGAATGCCTGCAACGAATCTCCGGACTTCACCACCAAGTCATGCACACATGGGCCCGTTGTTCATACCCTACAGCCCAGCAATTGATTCTCGTCCATTGATATCCTCTTCCCATTATCGGAAAGACGAACTGAAGTAGTTTCACCCGTAGGTTTGTGTTTCCCCACCATACAAAGCCAAGTGACATGTAAATCAAACTGGGTCGACGGCCATTGGCTCTGCCGTCGTTCCAGCATCTACACTACTGGGGACACCTGATGTTGAGGGGACAAGATCAAGATCCAAGGGATTCTTCTGCTCATCCTCGATAGTGCTCTGAAGGTCATCGACCTGCATGGCATAAAGATGTGCATTCAAAACATCGGTTTACATACTGGTCAAAACTCAGAATGAATATGTTCAAAGAAAAGGATGGCTTGGTAAGGAATATTTGATAGTAGCCTATCCAGCTAAAATTCTCGGCTGCTCAGCAGACACGATTGGCCTAAAGAAGGAAGCAAGAAATGAGGAATTTGAAGGTACTGACCACGTGCAAAAGAAGAGCAAACTGTTTCTTTCTGATTTCCAGAGTCCTCGCAGCGGCGGTATTTTCAGCCTCCAGTATAACTAACTCTTTCTCTAGTTCATTCAAAGCCTTCTGAGTTTCTGAGCGAGGCGGTTGGGCACCAATCAGTCTTCTGATGGCTTCACATTCCTCCTTGTGTTGCCTTTCGATTTTTCCTTCCTCGAGTTGAAGTTTCAAGTCCTCAATATCATCTTGTGCCTGAAAACCAACAAAGCAACATCTCATTCGCATCCTGTTGCTCTTTCAAGAGTTTCTACTTCCAATACAAGCTGGATTGTAATTCACAGAACAAGGTCTATCAAGTAGAATCACATTACCACCTAATTTAAGATGCGAGCTGACTGCCGGAGGTTTCACAATTTCTACGAACAGACTTAAGAAAAAAACTTTTAATCTGACGATAGGCATTTAGATAATTCAATAGCTGTCACGGCACTTGCATATGCATTCTCTTCACACAGTCAGTGATATGTCCTCATGTCAACATGAAGAAGATCCAAGATATAAAACACATGTATCTCGCAAAGTAAGTGGAGGAGGATCCAACATTGTCCCGGGAACGAATTTCTTCAGTAGCGTGTGAAAGTAGGTTAGAAAGGGAAGGTATAGAGAGGATGATAGGGCAGAATGATTCATCAGTAGCCTTGGGGTAAACTTTTCTAGCTAATAGATGAACAAAGGAATTCGATGTTTAAGATAAACACTATGTAGTAGCAGCTTTTGAATTTACAAGTCAGCAAGAACTTGGAACTCCATACATGCACTATCGATGTATTTCAATACCTGGTTGATTTGTTTGCTCAGTTCTGCTTGAAGCCTCTTGAAGCTTTCTTGTTCTCGCTTGTTGGCATCAACCACAGCCTTAGTCTTGATAAGAGGGAGCTCAAATGTACCCAACTCTTGCAAGAATGATTTGTACAACTTCTCACAATCTGCATAATTGTCAGAATCTTTATCAACTTCGCCTGCGAATGCAAGAAACTTTTTCAAAAGCTTTTTCAAAGGTGGCTCTCCTCTGGTGGTGGTTGTCCTTGTCAAGAGCCGCTGCCTTATTACACCATCATCTTCTGAGGCACTTATGGCATAATGAGCGGCCATGTCTTCCTTCCTTTCAGTTGACTTCTTCGGTTTTGATGATATTCTACTGCCTGCACATTGAAGGAGCACCCAAGACTATTATGAGAAGGACAATGAACAATCCCTGGGGTGGCGAGACCTTTGCAGATGCTGAGAAAGGAACAGGGGATGCACAGAGATCTATACAGCGCCTGGACTCGGCAATGAAACAACATGGATGGGTGCAGGCGAATTCCAACTAGATCTCAATCATATTACTGCAGCGCTTACCACCAAAATGAAAATGGTCGAATCCCGGTTGTAGGGGTGAAGCCTGCTAATTTTCGGACGCGTAAATAAGGTTCCATCTAAACAAACCGACAAAAAAAAAGAAAGGCAAGAATTACTGGCAGGGCCAGCTAATGCAGATGTAACAAACCTATAATCCTCTGGAAGGGAAATCATGCTTGAAAATGCCGAGGCCTCACTCTGCATATACCAAAAAAATAACCGTTGGCTTTTTGAGAGAAGCCTCGTTATCTCGCCAAGTGCCTTCCAAACACCTGCTGTGCTCGATGATCAAGCACTTGCTTCAGCATTTAACAACTCGTTCTCATGCCAGCACTGCACCTTTTCCTTCCACACAAAATCCTTTCTAATGTGAGAAATCTCGAAAGTAAAGCCTCTCATACATCAGTGCTGCCAAAGAGTACGAGAGGGGAGACTTTCTAAGTTTATCATACAAGATCATCCATGCTTTGAGAGAAAAGTGCTGCTCTACAGCTGTGAGACTTACTTAATGCACACGTCATACCACGCGAAGAGAACCTTAGAGAGAAAAAATGAAGAACAAGCTCGTGATGAATTACTTCTGTTAGAAAACAAAAGATTGTGAAATCTTTGTCAGATATTAGGACTCCGGAGAAATGTTATGAGCACCCAGACATTATGAAACAGACTAAGTGTAGAGTCTCGATATCTCTCAGCTGAGCCCTCGATTGCCGTCTTAAATTCCATCTGTGATACTTGCGAATATTTGATCGGTTTCTGTACATTATCAACAACATAGACCAGAATCTACAAACTGACGATTCCACATCTCTTCGATACCATTCATCAGATATATGACCTACCAAACTTGGACCAGCTAAAAACATACAGTGATACCAAAACAGAAACTGTCGGTTGTGCTCTTGCTTAGTGTTCGCAAACATCATCGCCTTTCTGTTGAATTTCAAACTGTGATGATTCACGAGGTGACGCTTTCGGATCATAAACATTTTAGTAATTCAAAACAGAAAGTCTAAGAAAAGACATACCCAGCAGCCCCCGCGATCAACTACTCCAGCTCCTAGAAACAATAAGCATCTATCAGCTTCTGCTGCTAATGGTTTCTTCCTTGTCCTAACTCCTGATGGCTGAATACGGCAGACGCTAAGAAAAAGTAAAACATTTTCAACAGGCCAGCTCACAACCGACTTAAAATCAAAAGTAATGCATGGCGATGCACCACTTCTGATTTGATAGGACTAGAACTTGCTTCTTTCGCAACGTAAATTCTCCAAAACCTGGTGGAGACAGTTGTGTTTCCTAATCACCACCTAGCTGGGCGACTCACGAAAACCCACTGCATGCCCATAACACCTAACAGGTCAACTTCTTACTTTGTGTAAACCTTCATTCCATCTTTTCGTGGCTTGTTTGATTTTTCCAAAAATTCACATTTACGGATATTGGAAAAACAGAATGTGAATTTAGGCCCAGAGCGAACAAACCATAAGGCTTAGAGCAAACATTGCAGTCGTAGACGTCTTTCAACAATCATCCCTTCCCATCGGACGGGAGGATTGAGAAATCAGCAAATTTCAGGACAACGCTGGTGTCAGCATTCTGTGCGAGAAGTCAACTGATGAATGTTCTTCAAATGTCAGGAGCGCAAAATCATAAACGAAACAGCGAAACATTTCCACTCGTCACAAAACTAAGAGCAGCACAAAATAAGACTGCAAGAGTAGAAGCTACAGAATCATAAAAAAAATCGAGCACGCAGGACAATGCAGTAAAATGAAAGCCGAAAAATCCGACGGCAGAATTAACCATCACAAAATGCTAGGGCTGATCAGAAGGACAGAGAAGCGAACGAATCAAATAGCTGCAAAACCCAAAGAAGACAGACTAAAGAATCCAGGGCCAAAAAAACTCACTGGCACGCGAGTAGCGCGAAGTGTTGGAATCCTGGGGCACAGCAGAAAAAATCGTCCCATCCATTGCTCTGGCCCCTCCCTCCGGCCTTCGACTTGCTGCCTCGAGGTCTCGTCGTGGTGGTGGCTGCTGCCGGTCAGTCGGAAAATCTCATACCGCCCTCTTAATGTCGCAAACAGACGAGCGTGTGAACGGCGCAGTGAATGTACGTGATATTGTGATGTTCGTTCTTCTTCTACCTCCTCTCCTCGACTGTGGTTATGCCCGTCCATGGTTCGGCACGTGAACCATGTGACCGTGAACCAACTACGTAAGGCTAGAGGGCTGGGCTCGGACCGGAACTTGGAGTCCAGTCAGTGGGTCCGTGGAGCTGGGCTTGGAAATACTGAAGATTTTTTATGAAGTCCTGATCGGTGCTACTACAAGCACATTCAGGAAATTGATATAGCCTGTAAAATTTTTTAATTATTATTAAATTTATTATTCCATGCATTTGTGGGTGAGTTGTAAGCAGTATGGTTTGAAGATAAACCCCAAAACGGGGATATTTGACAGCATTTGGTCGAGATGTTCTCACATCCTTTTCTATTTTTGTCACATTGCTTAGTATATTATGATAATTGAAGCAACTATGTACGAAGAACGGAAAAATCAAAATCAAAAAACACGTAATATAATAAAATTTCATTAAAAATCATTTTCTATCTAGATATTCAAGTTACATAAGTTCAATGAAAAAAAAAAATTAGAAATTATCAAAATTTCAAATTCATCCATCCACTGGGATTACATGTGCAAATCTGAGCACCCAACAATCCAGTATTAACAGAAAAATCCACTACTGTCCCACACACACGTATCTTGTCCACCATGCAGTCCATATAATTTTGGACCTCTATAAAAGAGTATGGGGGTTGATTCGATTTTCATGCGAAGCTCGTAGAATTAGAGAAAATCTGCTGCAGGCTGGAACTCCTGTTGAAGTTCACCTGTTTACTGCAATCTAATTACAAACACTTCTGATGACGGCGCTCGGTGTTTGGAAGGACATGAAAGAGAACCTGATCTGATCGAGCTGACCAACTTGCCTGAAAACGAAGAGGCCGAGAGCAAATGCGAGAGGGTGCAAACAAACCAAAGACAAGACGAGGGCAGGCATTTCCAAGAAGAAAAAAGCGAGACCACATGTCAGAGGTTGAACCCTTTAGCTAGATCAATATGCAAATATAAGATGTATTGTTCAGACCCTTTGCAAGCGGGGTTGGTGAATTGTAGACTGATTTATTTGTAATTTTCTTTTTACTCGAAATTGCCGAAACTGAGGTCCATGCGAGACTTTTGAAGTTCGTGTTGGTAGTGTAACCATAGAACTGACATTAATTGCTCTTCTTATCAAGTGAGTCATGTTGGTCGTCCTTCTAGTTTAGGGTTTATAATACTTTGGTCTCGAGCATACATGATAGTCCTTACTGGGATGTTCACAAGGTGCCTGCGCAGTGCAAGTTCAGTTCTCAGTTTTTCTACCGAAGGTTTGGAAAGCACATTCTGCCATCCGGAAGTCGCACAAATGGTCTGCTCAATTAACCAGCTGACATTTAATATATCGTATCGTGGGGCCACATGGATGCACAAAACTACGGAAAAACCCAAAATTGTTGATCGACATTTTGCCGGGATACATGTGGAGCATGATATGCGGAAAGAAGTTCACTTGCTCTGTCGATTCCCAGTTGCAGAGTCCGACTGATTTCTCTCCACTTCCCCATTTCTCTTTGGACTTTTCACGTTACATACATTTGGACTTTTCGTAGCATTTCTCTTCACGTCCAAAATAAGTTTTACCCACATCTCTCTGAAGCTCTTCCTTCGATTTAAGATGGAAAACACATTTGTGGAAAAGAAAGCGTTGTTATCAATTCTTTTGAGACTGTTTCCCCTTACATTGTTCTGAACACTTCGCGTGCTTTTTCTGAAGATGGAGTCCACGGTCACAAAAGGGGAAGACTGTCCCGATGTCTCGGCTCAGAAGTGTGCACATTCTCTCAAGAACTTGTAGTTAGGAACCCTGGAACGGATCCCGCATCATGTCCTCACAGCCGTGCGTCTGCCGGGAGTCGAACCCGGGTCTATTGCTTGGAAGGCAATTATCCTAACCGTTGGACTACAAACGCTTGTTGTCCGTGGGTTAGCTGAAGGTTTATTCCGCTATTTCAATTGGGCTCTTTCCTGCTACATTTCTTTTGCTCCTTGCTACGTTAATTGTCAATAATATTGACTGCAGTATTTTAAAACCTTCTTCCTAAACCCCTTCCTAAAACCCTAAACCCATTACCATGGATAACCTAAGACTGAATAGAGATTAAAATTACAACTTGATTTTTATTTGTCACAATACAGATACAAGTCTACAACAAAATCATTACGGATTGAAGTTATACGCCATCATTGAACTTCTACTGTACTTTAACACTCGTCCGATGGCGTTTTGACCTAAGGAGAAAGAAAATATCTTGAAACGATTGTACGCCCACATTCTAGTACAAGAGTTAGATGGTGACAAAGGAAGAGCAAGATGAGAACACTGGGCGAAGGAAAGTATCAAATCTCAAGGAGTATGGAAAAGTGTAGTTCGTTGCATGTTTTGTTATAATGTTTGTTTTGTTTTTTCGTAATTTTCTTTTATATAATTATTACTGGATATGAACTGGAATTAGCGCCCGTACATAAGAAGGTAGATCTTCACTCCAGACTCCGTCTGACATTAAAACACAATATCCCAAAGATTCACTAGGGGCATGAACATGAGCTACCTCACGCGTTCGTAAACTTTGCGATCTCATCTTGCTAATCTTTAGTAAGTAGCTCTTGATTTTAACTGCAAGTGAATGAGATGACTTTAACCCAATCATTTGTTGGATCTGAGAGGTAATAACATGGAGATTAGTACTCTACTGAACATACACTGCATGAATTGGAGAGACCCACAAAGCCGACATATAGTTCAAGTCCTTAAAAGACTTACTTTAATACAAACTGCACATTCCTAGTCACGAGCCACTCCCACGATCCAAACATGACTCGTTGTGTAGAGACTGCTCCGCTTCAACAGTTGACATCATTCATCAGTGTTCTTCGACCAACTCCATCAGAGACCAAGTTCGGTACACCTGCAAAGAGACCCATTATAAACTTGATATACTTATGTACAGTGGGTATATTTTGCGATGCCAACTGATGGTGCAGTCTTACACACCTACAATTTTGCCTCGGCATTGCAGGTTTACTTTATCCAACGGTGCTATTTACTTCTACAGTAGTCAAAGTCTGCTGGCGGATACTGAGAGATACTTTCTTCTCTCGCCACGATCAGCTTGCCTCCATATTTTAGAAGCTCCGAACAGAGCTTAAGTCCGATTCTATTTGTAATTTACAATCCCGGATGTCTTCAAGACATCTATTAACGTGTACAAAAAACTCCTCCAGAGCTGCCTAGCTAGCCATATATGCGTCCTTGGATGCGGCCTGTGAGATTATACAAAAATAAACATGGCACAGCGGCATCCATGATCGACAATTCCGGGTCCAAGCTTCTTGCAAAGCCCACCAGGACGCAGACAGCCACTACTAACGACGCATAAGCACTGTCAATCGTCACCTCGTGCTTCCGGCACAGCTGCAAAACCTGAATGCATGGGACATAAGGAGCATTTGTTTAGATATTACCCGAAACCGAAATACATCTCTCACTAAGACTTGTTAGTATCTGAGTTCAAGTATTGATACACACAATGACTTTCCGTGGATACAAATTTTCTACAGAAAGGGTCGAGGTGTTCATAACTGACCTTTATGAGAACCTTATTGAGATCAATAGGATGGCGCTCTAGATTACATTCTCGATTGAAGAGGTCTTTCATATCCTTCGCCAGGAGTTCAGGTGTCCTGCAAGTTTGCTCGTGTGGCCATGAAAATTGAAGTAGATGATATGCCTGGAAAGAATATTGCACGTTCATATTTGTAAGCACGAAGGTAGCCAGTTCAGCAGATCAACCGAGCAAGCTGTCATAGACGGTTGGATGTGAATATCACCAGTCGAACTATTACACTTCTTAATCAAAAGAAAAGCTCAGGTAACAGACTGATTCGAAGAAAACCCCTAATCAATGTAAACAAGCCTCCTCTGATATACATCAAGTGGAAGCTTTGACAGATTAGTTCAAAACTGTACCGCTCTTTCTCCATTTCCAGCCCCGATCATCATGATGAATGAGATAAAATGGTGCCGTACAGAAGGAGATAGTTCCTCAGCTAGACCAAAGTCGAGAAGCACAAGTTGAAGTTTCTGTTGTATTCCTTCAGAGTCACCTATTCAAAGAGGAGTTGAAGCTATGAGTAGATATAAAGGCAAAAGCGACCGCCACTCTGAATCAACCCTGAGGATCTTATCTCACGAGATAAAAATTCACGACCAGTCACTTATCTTTGCTATATGCAAGTTTTTCTAGCAATCGTTGAAGACTTAAGTCTTACCAGTACTTCGGGCCAGTATATTTCCTGGGTGTAGATCCGTGTGAACGAAATTGTCTGTAAGCATCATCTTCAGGTATGTATCAACGCCTACGGCTGCGATCTGTAAATCGCTCAAGCAATTGAAGTCAGAGGGCAGAATCAAAGCTGAGTTGCCTGAGTAAAATATCAACAATTTGCGAATTTCATGCGAATCTCGACAATAACTTATGTTTACACATGTGTATAGACTACATGGACGGCTCATTTTATTAGATCGATCATGTGAAAGTCAAGAAACACAATTCGTGAATTGAACATGAACACATCTTGCTCCGTATGGTCCCACATGTCATACCTGTGTGTTGAGAGAGCTGCGGTGTCTTAAAAACTCATGCAATGCTGATCCCCTTTCAAAACTCTCGACAATCACGCCTTCAGACACCTGTTCCAGTATACATCACAGGGATCAACTAAGAACTAACAACTTCCGCGTCTAAAGAAAACACATGAAAAAATGTGAATGATGATACCGTTCCTAATACATGATTGTAAAAGAAAAATCTTCAAATCTGGACGTAAGCTTCTCCCTTGCTAAACAGTTACATTGGTGGAATCATAGGTATCGGTGTATATACTTACAAGGTCAGGAATCAGCTTTGGAAATATAACCGTGGAATGCAAACTTTCAAAATTCTTTTGAAACCTTGCGAGATTCTCTGCCTCCACCCTTAGATCCGCCTATCCAGCCATCCAGTTCAGTGACAAAGTAAGAATGTGCCATGGCTTCTTTGCGACACAAATCGGATCGGACAGAATATCATTCTCAAAGACAAATAAGATTTCTATGAGAATATGAAGCACACCTGAGCAGTTAGAGTGTGAGAGAACTGGTCCACACTCTCTCTGAGCTTGAGCCACCGAAGAGCGGGCAGTTCTTGAGCCCAGTTTGCCAACGCTGACATGATTTGAAAATCTTGAAATATACGCAGAGCAACAGAAGGATGCCTAACCTACAGCCAGGTACCAGCTCAGTGTGAGAAACAGCACGTCCAAGACTATCAAAGTCTTCATTAATAAAGAAAAGTAGTAATATTGTAGGGTAAAATGAAAAGGATACCCATAAGTACACATTTTTATTTCGGTCTGCCTCCAAGCGGAGCTTAACAGAATGAGTGTTTCAACGTAAGAAACTTCAGCCAAAAACTCAAGGGTTCTTGGTTATCAATCGAGCACATAGGCAATGAAGAAGGGCATACTTTAACGGCGACCTCACTTGGCATCCCATCTCGTTGATCCTTCAACTTTGCTCTGTAAACCTGGAATCAAATGCACGACACAATATCAGAATCTCCTGGATGATTAGGAAGTATAACAGAGACTAAAAATACATCGTTGTGTTGAAGTAATTTACATCACGACGCAGTGAAATACGGTCCTGGATCACAGAATATCATGCTTATACGAGGTCATTGAACCATTTTTTAGAACGTACACATACCTGAGCTATGCTCCCTGATGCGCAAGGCCTTTTTGGAAAATCGACAAATATATCTTCTATAGGGCGACCGAGATTTTCAAGCACAGCTTTCCTCGTTTGACTGTAACTGTGCTCGGGGGCTCGATCGTGAAGACGTCCGAGATACAAACACATGTCCTCAGGAAAAAGATCCTCTCTAGTGGCAGACCACTTCAAGCGGAAATCAAGACACACAGTTCATCAGTTCTCAGTTGCCTCAAAAAACAAAGAGAGACATCCGTGGCTCACCTATATCATCAACAAACAAGTTTTAATATTGAAAGTCCAATACAAAAAACTTATATATTATAATTTTAGGTTCTAAGGATGAATTTCAAAACTCACCTGGCCCCACTTTATGAACGCCGCTCCACCTCTTTCTAGACAATACCGGAGAAGCCACCAGAGTACCTTCCTAAATTGGAGAGTCCACGCAGTTATAAAAACTGAAGACATGAAGTAGATTACAGGGCCGAGTATTATAAGAGGACCGAACACTAGCACAAGATAGCATGCCCTGAATATGAGGGACGATCTTTGTTGTACACTCCTCCAACCACTGTGGACAACACTAAACTCCAAGTAAATGTCGTCTGCTCCTGCATTCCATCTTGACACTTCACCAAAATGTTCGTCCTTTAGAGGAGCAGAGAGATTAGTTGTCCGATCGTCCACGGCCTCAGATGTGCTTGTGACATTCACGACTTGTTTGGAGATTGTTTCTTCCCTGTATACATTTCGTCCACCATCATTACATTTTTTCGAGGAGATGAGTGGCAGAGCAGTGGAGCCGATGATCAAACCTCTGGGAGAGATTATGAACGTGGTATCCTCCCATATGTCAATCAACCACCCTATTCTGGGAGGACTGCAAAGAACAAGTCATTTGGAAGCAGTCAGTTAGAAAACTTTCCTGTCTCTTGGTGCAGACGAGGACCTAGCGGGCTAGAAATCCTGCATGTGGCTACAACACCACCAGACTGTAATACTGAAAATCCATTGATCACAGTACGAAAATCTTCCCTGCTCCGTTTTGTAAAACGCGTGTCTTCTATGTCATTGAATATTCATGCCAATCGGTGAAAATAAATTCCTACCGGACAGAGAATGCATGTAAAAGAGACTTTGTTCTTACTGGTGAAAGTCAGTCATGTATGAACACAGGCGTTTTGCTGCCCAACGGTGTCGAGACCTCCATAACCTCTCGGCCAACCCGGCATTTCCTGGTGGAATCTTCTTCACCGTTGCCTTTGTTTGAGCGTAGCCGACAGCAACAGGTAAGGCTGCGCCAACGCATTCAAGAGTGTACTGCGAAACAGAGGATCCAGTCAATTATTTGGTCTTTAATCCAGTCAATACTTGCATACAACACTCACAACAATTCTTCAGCATCTTGCTGCAATTATAGTCCAGCCGGGGTCGAAACGACATAAATTGATGCTCTGAACATGTTACGGAAAATCGCAGGCAGCAAACGTGAGAGGTTGTCTGTTGTCAAAATCGAAGTGACAAACTAGTCAAATGACAAACACTCAGTAGCAAGAGAGTTGTGATTCCACTGCTTCAAAAATCGAAGCTGGAACACATCCAACAATGGTCGTGGGGCATAAACCTAGTTAACAGTAAGGAGGGACAGAGGTAATTTTACACACATGTAACTCGGGATGCTGGTGCTTGAGAAGAGGAACTCCGATTGACAATAGCAGAGAAGCAGCCGAGAACTCCCGCAGTCTCGAAGGCAGATTCAAATCAACCATTTGTGTTGCATTTTGAGAATCATTGTTCATAAATTGGGTCACTCTTGAAATCGCAAACCGAGTGAGTTCTGCCACAGCCATGATCCCCATGGCACAAGAGATGAGTGGACCGCAGAAAGCCTGAACGGATCCCACGCACGAGCGATTAGATTGACAACACGCGATTACAGAGTTCAAGAACGGTGCTCTCACATCTTTCGAATCCTAATGTAGAAATCGTCATGAACACGTGAGGGTAAAGACCAACAAAATGTTTTCTCCGCTTAACATTTTGACGAACATACGCTCCAAAGAGCTCAAGAGAAACGGCAAAGTGTACATGTCTTCCTCCATGAACGCCGAGTAATTGTCAGACCTTTTAAGACATCGCAAAAAATTCCATTTCATTCAATATCAGTTTATCTGCTGAAATGTACCTGTGAAACGAGAAGGATACTCGCGGCATTGGCCACATTGCCCGCAAACTCCAAACTGCGTCTTCGCTTGAAAGGCAGACTCCTTCGACTAAACGGCCACGGTAAACAGGACAAGCGAAAAAATTAATCTCCGAAAAAGGCTCGAGTTCCACATCCCACTTCTGGCTCAGTCAAAATGACGATAATGCTCAGTCTCCCCTGCGACTATCGATCGCTGGAGAGAATGAGCAGAGAGAATTAAAATCGACCCTCATCTGTACCTGAATATGGAATCTCGTTCAGTCGGTGGTTCTCCATTGCAAATGTCAGCTCCAACTTTCACTTGCACAAGTTGCAAAGCGAAAGCAGAAGGGTCTACGCCTCCAATTCCTGTTCCCAGACCCACTTTCAAAGGAAACGATACTCGTACGAATCTCTTATTCTTCTGCTGGCGGCCTACGCTCCCTAGCCTTTTCCTGGCCCAGAGCTGCGCACTGGACGACGATATTTTCCCAGCAAGCCATTCCACGTCCTTAAGCCGAAATTCGGGCGAACACCATCCCTTAACAGGCTGGAGCATCCGTTCCCATTCCTCCTGCCTGCTCGGTTGTGCCCATCCCATGATTGCAGAGCTTTCCTAAATCTCACCACCACCAGCGCCCCCAACGATGATGCCCATAATCTACATTAGTGAATTCCTGTCCTCCACCTCATAGCGACCTCTTCTGTAACACTGCCACGCATACCGTAGCAGAGGCTGTCTCTGCAACGCACAACAAACTCGTTATGCCACTAAATCTCGAAACATGGCCAGAAGACATCCCATCGCAGTTCTCCGCATTCATACATTCATTCATTCTCTCTCTCTCTCTCTCTCTCTCTCTCTCTCTCTCTCTCTCTCTCTCTCTCTCTCTCTCTCTCTCTCTCTCTCTCTCTCTCTCTCTCTCATGTCTCTGCGATCGAATTGCATAATACACATTGCACGAATCGTGATCGTCCATCCACGCCACAGTGGGAACAATGAGAAGGCCAATCCATAATCAAACCTGCTGGTCAACTGCAATTCGTCCGTCCGAAGGTCGAAAGGGGAGGCAACTTTTGTACGTCCTTTGTTTTTGGGTTTATTTTCAGGTGGTGAAGAGATGGCCAGTGGGCAATTACAGTGCAATGTATCGTAATACCAAACGCAGGAGAGGCAGCCAACGCTCGTTGGCTCGCCCGCACAGGCCCGCAGTCTGCTTTTTTTTCACATGTATTCACATAAATACCCACCGACCCTCCGACGACCACGAGAAAGGGACATCTGAGCGCCAAATTCTGCCCGCGATATTACGAATTTCCTCCTCCTCGCGCGCACGGCCTTCGAGCCTGACTCCTCACTAGAGCAACCAGCTCCAGTCCTGATCAATACGGGAGAAACAGCACCATAGTCGAGCTGCGCACAACCACGAGAACAGAAGCGAGGAGAGACGAATCCTCGACGGCAGAATTCGGAGCTCTCGGAGTGTCGACGATTCTGAAGCCACGACGAGACGAGACGAGACGAGCAGCAGCGGCGTCGTCGTCGTCGCCGTGTACGTGGCTATCTATCTCGCGATCTATCCACTCGCACACATGAGGCGCTCGACGACGGCGGACCGATGGATCGTGGGCGACGGAGAGGCTCAGCAGCAGTCCCCTATCGGGCCAATCCGGTCCTGTCCTTTGCTGTTCCTCTCATGCCGAGGACAGAACTGTACCCGATCGGGGAGAAAGGGACGGATCTCGCTTGTCAGCCTCTGGTTCCGTCATCCCGAGCCAGGTCCACCCAATTTGTGACGACGACGTTGCGGCTTCCGCTGCGCCCATGACGTCGCGGAATTGGTAAAGTCGCGTCGCGGGCTGTCAGGCTTCCTCCTCCGCCAGATAGACATCAGATACTTCGAGCTCCGCTGGTGGCGGCCCCGTCAGCATCGCTATCTGCCATGTCCGCATCTTCTTCGTTGGCGCTTGCTGCCTGCCACCCGAATTCCTCCCGTCATCACAACGCAAGCACCTCAGCCATCCAATGCTCGATTGATTGATATCAGCCTCGACTCGACTCCCTTAGACTCGCTCGAACCAGCAGCAGAATTCAACGACGGGCTGTCTCTCTCTCGCATCCAGATTCCATCGATTCCTCGCATTGCTGGCCCACATGTTGAGACAGCTCGGGCTCGTCCCTTTGAATCTTGAATCTGCTGGTCTCAGGTGCATCTATTCTGTTGCTTTGCAACTTCCCACACGGAATTTGATTTTCCCAATGTGGTCTGGCTTTCGTACCACCACTGGACTTTTGCTCCATGGTGGGCACGGTTGCAAGTCTCGGTGGTCGACTTTAGCCCAACATCCTCGTGACCAGGAGAATAATAATAATTTATTGAGTTCAACCCATCCTGAAGTTCTTTAGCTGGCACGGTGACCTCATATTCACTCGGTCCAATCTTTATCATCGGTCATGACAATGCGCTGATTGGTAAGTGTGGTTCAGAAATAAGCCTCGGTGGCATTCTCTAGAGCATAAAAGTCATACAGTCAGTCGTCGTTCAGATTTCTAATGAAGTTTACATTTTAATGAAATTTCAGATCCATTTGAGACATTTCCAACTCAAGTTAAAAGAGCTGCAGAGGTGCATACACTTCAACCGGAGTTCATGGGTAGAAAGAGATTTTCATTCTCTATTATAACTGGCTCGTCACATTGTAAGCGTGTTACATGGCCCAGCACATGGATCCATAATCTGAAATGGTGAAGTAATCTTAGACGATATCAAAAAAATTTTGGAAAACACTTTTAATATTAAAAAGGTGGGATATTCCCATCAAGGTGAGAGGGTATGAAACCAGCATTTCCTGGAACTGATATTTGCTTGTTCACCGTATCCATAGTTAGAATAAATTAAATCTTCTCCTTATCATCAAATACATGATTCACTCCGCAATTTTGTACTCAGAAATTAATGAAATCTTTTACTTTTTTGATATTGAATAAACATAATATCACAATGTAAAATATGTCAATATGCAACTAGTGTTTTTCATTTATCTGAGTGAAATCCTAACAATCCATAGTAACATATGACAAAACATGATCTCATGTGACTGCTTTCTATTATTTGTACCACACTACATATAATACATATGACAATATGTCGTCTAGTATATCGCATGAACATAGCGAAACCAACTAATATAGTTCCATATTACATCAAAACTGTAGTTAATCACTCTCCATATCTATATACATATTCATCCGTTTGTCTTATGAATGATGTTGGATGATATTTCTTTGAAAATTATGTTACAAATAATGTTCATGATCACATTATGTCCACCATTAGCTTGATGACTATGACTAAATGTGGACAAAAGACCTATTGGCAAAAAAAATTGACATAGAAGTATCACAGCATTGATAATAATGGCCAATAATAACCGTTTCATAAAAATTAATCTAGTGATCTTTGTAACATATAATTTTTTAACAAAATTTAATTTAAAAAATATAATTGATAAGTATTTCTTTTCTACTTTAGACATTTAGAGCTCAAAAACTTTGAGAATGTACAATATTCACATAATTTATTTTACTCAAAAAATCAATAATCATCCAGACATACATGCAATGATATAATAAAAAAGATGATTTTTTAGACATATAATACGGAAAGAAACAACACTCTTAACAACAAGTTGAAGTTTATTAGAAAGCTTAAATTGTACTACTTTTAAAGCCTATTGATGCTGGGTTATGGGAAAACACTTCGATATCCTAGTAGATAATCAATACATGTCTAGGCTAATCAAACTCAACTATTAATCTTGGGCTACAATCCTATCATCATTACACTTGCTACAAACTATGAACACTTGCAACAAAAAGACATGATCTTTCAGTAAATGTACTCATAGGAATATAAATTCTAACAGGTTTACACAATCGCACCTATGCAGATTGCTCTCTGCTATTTGTCCAAGCTAATTATGCATCATTTCTATGAAGACTTCTTCCACAACGAGAGCGCATTGACGCTTACTAGCAACTCCCACATGCCTTGCAAAATCTTTTTTTATGTATGCGTATTGATATATGGCATTCATGATCCATTGGTTTGTACCTCTAAATTTGTTTCCTCCTCAGATTGACGTGAGTGTTCATCTCCTAGTAAACCGTTCTAAACGTTTACAATGTCTCGTCTAGTGAAGAGATTTGGCAAGCATTTACTTATCACAAATTCTATTCTTCGCGAAGTTCCCACGTCGAAACATTTACAATTATTTCTTCTCCTCGGAAGTGATTTCGAACTTGAAAGCAGGCCAGAGCAGCGTCTTCTAAATCGTTAGGTCCGATGTCGTTTGACTAAAATCAATGACTAAAAAAATATTTTGAGCAGGCGGCATGAGGTTTCGAAGATCACAGCCAGCAAACGAGTAGAGTCGACAATTTTCCCACCCATAAACAAGTCCGTCAAAGCATATGGAGGCCAGGGCCGGCGTCAGCCCGAGTTCAAATTCCACGCAGAAGCAAAATTCAACGAGTATCTAGAGATACAAGCGCACGCGGCTAACGTAGCAACGCGACCTCGGGGTTGAAATGACTCGTGATCTCACTGGACAGTTGCTCTTTTCGACATGACTCGTGCAACGATCGAGAGGTGCTCTCGCTCGCTAGTGACATCCGATGCTGCACCGCAGACTCTTCTCCGAGTACCGATTGCAACGTTAAGAGCAATCGCAATCACATGATTTGCGTCCGCCATCGACAAATGAAAATCAACCCGAAAGGAAGAGTAGATCGAACTCTCCGAGGGTACTCTGCCCGAACGTGACCGACTCATCAGGTAGTAGATCCGGACGACCGGCCCATCTAGTAGATACTTCAAATGAAGAGTTCTATTGCTTTACTCGGTCAGAGCCATCAACGTCGTTCGCTGGATTGCAAAAAAGCAATTCGTAAGTCCTGACCACGTCGCGGTTACAGTTACCGGACGCAGACCCCGAGTATTTTGACTTTGACCTTCGGTCGTGGCTTTCTCACGAGCACGACACGTGGCAGACGCAAGAAGAGCACCAACGCTATAGGCTTGGCCACGGTCCGGATCGACGGTTAACCGGTCCGGGAAAAAAATTTCCTCTGGTAGCAGAATTAGACCAGCGAGGCTCGCTGGTCTAATTCTGCTGCCAGAGTAAATTTTTTTGATCACCTAATTTGATCACCCAATTCGATAAGTGGATAATCCCTAGCATAAATCTCGAGCTCAGATGTGTTTCTCCAACTTCCCTGCACCCTGGCGCAAAGTCGAAGTCTCTCAATTCGAGAGCGTTTTCACCTCCACTCTAAACACCCTGGCAATCAAACCACCAACGAGATCAGAATTACAATCCGCTCGGCACAATAGGACCCACAACCGACGATCGATTGCAATGAGCTACAATCGCCAGATCAAACTCAATCCACAAGCTCCTCAGCTCTACCTACCTCAAAGCCTTCCTTCTCGTACGACAATTCATCAAGACTCTCGCCTCTGCCGAGAGTCTTTAAAAAGCAGCCAATTGCTTCTCATCTTCACTTTCCTCTCCTAGCACTCCTCGCCCGATCCTCCCTCGCTCCCTCACTCACGCAGCGACGGTGTACTCACTCAGAAAGCAGCCTGCCTCCGCCCCTCGGTCTCGTCACAAATGCAGAATCCGCGCGCGCTCCATCCTTTCTCCCACCGCCCGATGCTCAATTATGCTCCGATTTACCAAGAAACTTGAGCATCGACGCGATGCGACCCCCGATCCATTCAACAAAATCATAAACAGGGCCGATCCGAGCTCAATCCATCGCAATTTATGTCCAAAGATTCACCCAACACCCATCGAACATACGACGACGAAACATGCACCCGGCGACAGAGTGCGCGATGCGGCCAAGAGCGGGCAGGCCTGGGCAGACAGACACAAGCGGCTTGTGTCTGTCTGCCATATGTAGGAGCCACAGATTATTTTGCTGCACTCCATTAACAAACTTGAACAAATAACTGGCAAGATGATGAATTTGAAGCAACTGCACACGAGTTCATTTCATCATCCATTCGAGAAATTCGATCGTTAAAAGATCATCATGTCTCAAAGTTTCCGTTTGAGTCTTGAATCTTGAACGTTCTACCCGTTCAGTCTTTCAGACCCATTGAATTCGACCGTTTAGTCTTTGAGATCTAGTATATAATGGATCAAAGCAGCGAGCAATGCTGCCCTTGAGAGCATCGTTTAGATTATGCTCACGCCCGCTGCTCCTTCGTTCCGAGTAATGAATTCGTGATCGGGGAGGAAAGATTGTGTTTCATCATCGTGCCATGTTTTCAGATGATGGCGTGAGACGATTCATAAATTGAGAGCACCGCATTCGCATAAGGAGCTGTAGCGGAAGTTAGTGAAGCACCTCATTCAAGTGCTCACACGGTTTTCGGTGCTGCTCTTGTTGAAAGGAAAGTGTACTCGACATTCCATTCCATCCATCTCATCAGTGTCCTATGGTCGCAGGTGGAAGGTGCACCATAGAAGGTCGAGGGGGAGACGTCAGTGATAAGAAAGCGAAGCGAGTAAAGTCAAGTGAGTTCAACTCAGCTCAATAACATTGCACGGCTACAGACAGCTCTATTCAAGCAGCGAGCAATGCCAACGACTCCGGTCGAAACCGTGATTTTATGGATATGGAAGGAATAGAACATTATACACATGCTGTTTGTTATTGTAGCTAGCTACGAATCGTAGAGAAAGATATGTAAATTGTCCGCTGGACTGTACAACCTGATGAAGTCTCTGTTGAGCACCGGGCAATCTACTCTGCATCACCGAATTTACTCAGCTGAAAACTGTTCGTTGCAGGAAATTGGACGGGGCTGCTTCAGTCGAGAGTACAAAACAGTGAATCGCATTGATGGCTGTTTCTATGCTGTCAAACGTTCACATCGTCAACTAAGGCAGGACAGTGAAAGGTTAGATTTACATCTTTATTAAGACATGTATAGGATTAACACTTTCAATGAAGAACATCCATCGCCATTTTTTCGGATTGGCATATCATGTCACTAGGAGTATCCCTCTTGAGAGCTGTGTTTGTCCGTACGTCCGTCCACATCATAGATGTCAGAGTTGATGCGAATCTCATCTGTAATGTGCAGGAAACAAGCTTTGACTGAGGTTCAGGCATTGGCAGCCATAGAATAGAAGTGTTATCCACATTGTTGAATGCATCCATGTGATCGAAGACTGTGTCTATATTTAGCTGTTGCAGTTCCTGTGCTTCATTTCAAACTTGTAGTATTGCCATAGGTTAATGTCAGCATGCTGTACATTTGCTTTAGAGTTTCAACTACATGTGTTTCGTGAGATAATTACATTTTCTAACTTTATTTTGTTTACCATAAGTACTAATTTTTGTCAGTTATTCCTGTAGGTATACTTTACTGTTTATGAGCAGCTGAAGAGACATCTGCGCCAAGGTGATGGTAAGTTTTGAATTAACCAATAAGTTACAACAATGCTTTTTCCGGGTTAGTGGCGTGTATTTCGGATATCATCACAATTCTTCACGTTCTGCATATAGCCATCACCACAGCTATTGTCATGCTTTGAAACGTAAAGTATCCGATCAATGTTTCTCCACGTTCATGTGCTCAGGCTCTGGTCATGAGAAACTGCCACCTGGTAGAAATGTATTGGCAGCAGCTGGTGCAGGTTGTGCCACAAGTTTGGTAACAAATCCACTGTGGGTTGTGAAGACACGGCTTCAGGTACGGAAGCGCAGTTTGTTGTTGTTAATTCTGTTAGGCCTAAAATAATTAAAGTATTCAGCAGTACCTTTGATGCTGAATTCTACGTGGTAAACTTTCGTGAATGTTGCACTTGACCTGTTGCAGATCCAGCGCCTCATGCCAGAATTGATTCCATACACGAACACATTTTCTGCACTTCGTCGAATCGCTCGAGAGGAAGGCATAAGAGGGCTATATAGGTGGGTATGTCTAGAATTGCACGTGACTCCTTGTTTGGTGCAAACTTCCAGCGTGCCTATTCAGGCATATGCTCCAATAGACGTGCAGCCCGTGCTAATCGTAGGCTACGATTAGCACGGGCTGCACGTCTACAGCACTTACATCGTATCATTGCACTGTTGTTGATTGTGTTCCTGCATCGGGCATCCGGGCAATATTAACAAAGATTTGTTTTAACATTTCCGACCACCTGTTGCACAGGTTTGAAGACTGAAGAGTGTTCAATTGCTTATTATCTGTAAAGCTCTGAGTAACGTCCAAGAGGCAGTTTATTTTTCCACTTCAGGTTGAACTACTCCAAAAATTTCTTTTCTATATATTAAGTAAGTTAGGGTTTAGGGTTTTTAGGGTTTAGGGTTTAGGGAATATATTCTAATATGTCTTGTCATATGCATGCAGAAACTTTGAGGTGAAGCATGGCAGACCTTTCTCTCATTGCGGATTCAATCCCATACTCGTCTCCAAGTACACATGAAGACTCTATTGTTCTCTCTGGTCGGACAGCGACAACATCCACGGGTCGTAAACGAAAGGCAAAAACCTCTGCAAGTTGGGTTTGGAATCATTTCAAATTGGTGAAAGATTGTAATAAATCCCTTATCATCTGTCTTGAGCCCATATGTTCTCATAACAGTAGATGCACTACCTCATTTTTGGCCAAAACTGGAACAAGTTCGTTGTCTCGTCATCTCCTTGTAAAACACAATATCTCAAAGGGTCACAAATCAGACGATCCTCTACAGACTTTTTTTGGTGTAAATGGTGAACTGTAGGATCCTTATGAGTTGGACAACGAGTCCAAAGAAGCCAATTTAAATGCCTTGGTTGCATTTGTGGTGGATCACCAACAAGCATTCAACCTGGTCGAGAACGAGACATTTCGATCATTTTGCCGACGTCTCAACCCCTATTACTCACTACCATCGCGGCAAACTCTCACACGCTCATTATCTGATCATTTTGAACGAGCATTACTACAAATTCGTTCAACTATAGATTCTATCAAGGGAGCGATTGCTTTCACTCTGGATTGTTGGTCGTCTCGTGTGATGCGTGGCTATATGGTGATTATAGTTCATTGGATTGATGAAGAGTGGAAACTTCAGTCTGTTGTACTAGAATTTTGCTATTTTCCACCTCCACACAATCAACACACTACATCAGACTTGATTCTCTCAGTGGTGAAAGATTACAACATGTGGTCCAAGATCAAGGCCATTACATCCGATAGTGGCGGCGAGATGCCACCGGCCATGGTCATTGTGAGAGAGAATCTGAATGATCAATACTCTCTTCGGTTGGAGGATGGTTTTCATATACGCTGCATTTGTCATGTCATCAATCGTGTTGTATGTGATGCTACACATTTCATCAAAAAAGAAGTGCAAATGCTCCGTCAAATACTCAAAGCTGTTCGTGGATCCGTTGCTATCCGCGTCAAGTTTTCAGAATTGGCTGTTGTGCTGGGCGTTTCCAAGGGCCGTGTTGAAGTTCCAGGTCTGGATATGGAGACACGTTGGAACACCATGTTCACTATGATCGACCAGTCATTTCAATATCGTGGTGTATTTTCAGCGCTCTGTAACTCCGAAGAATTCTGTGACCGATTGGCCAATATGGCTTTGTCCGACATGGATTGGCGTGTTCTCAAATCATGCAAAGACTTTTTGCAATCTGCGTACCATTGCACTGTCGCCGCTAGTGGACGTGACTACATTTCACTTTCTCTCCAGCCTCTGATCTACAAGCATCTCCTTACCTTGTGTGAAAAAACCCGTTCTGGACAATTAGACACTAGGTTTACCACTCCGATAGTCAAACAAGCTGCTACTGCCATGGAGCTCAAGTCGCTTAAATATAGTGCAAATCTAAATTGTCAAGCCTCCAAAATGGCTTATACTTCTTGATACATCCAGTAATGTTTCCTCTGAAATGATGGAACTCAAAGATCAACTTCGATTCATTTTGACGATGGATTACGGCTTGTGTTCGGAGGTGCAGCCATCTCTAACTTTTGGTGTATTTGATCTATTTGCTGGAGAAGGAGACAGTGCCATTGAAAACGTTGCACACACTGACGAGGTCGATGACTTCTTCATGCTCACGGCGAAAGCGGATCGTCGTGTGTCCGACGTATTGCTATGGTGGAAACAGCATAGCAATCATTTTCCGACGTTATCCCTGATGGCCAAGGACACATTGATGATTCAAGGTTCTTCTCTGGCGTCTGAATCGGCATTTTCGGAGAGTGGTGGATTTGTTCGTCCTGATAGATCTAAATTATCTGATGAAAACATTGAGATGATGATGAAATTGAAAAGCTGGAACCGTTTATTCCGAGAGTAAACTATTATCAGAGCTTATGTTCGGCTTTTATTTAGTTTAGTTATTTAGTTTAGCTTTTATTTCTTTTATTCAGTCAAGTAGTTATTCTCGAAACTTGTGTTTGAAACATAGTTCATATACACAATTTTTATCTTTGAGTGAATCAAGGATTATTTAGGTTGAAAATATTATCTATGCTGAAATCGTCCAATTTTAATTTTAATATATTTTTCTTTAGAAAATTTCATTATTCTATTTTAAATACGAATTATATACCTGTAGGCTTGGCCTACAGATATATAATTTTTTCACGAATTGGTACAACTCAGCTTGAGTCGCTGAACTCTGAAAGTCCAGCCGTGGGCTCATTTGAGTCGTGGCCCACCTCTTTCCCTCCACCATCGAGAATTTTTGGTTTTTAGGGCCCCTCCCCATCGGTCACGTAGGGGTCCGGACCAATGGTTAATCGGTTAACTATCGGTATATCATTAGTCCAAAAATTTCCTCTGGCAGCAGAATTAGGCCAGCGATGTACCCAATTCGTGATCCAGTGTGAAAAAATTCGCGAGAAAATTTTTTCACGAATTGGTACAACTCATCTCGAGTCGCTGAACTCTGAAAGTCCAGCCGTGGGCTCATTTGAGTCGCGGCCCACCTCTTTCCCTCCGCCATCGAGAATTTTTGGTTTTTAGGGCCCCTCCCCATCGGTCACGTAGGGGTCCGGACCGATGGTTAATCGGGACCGGTTAAAATATCGGTTAACCGTTAAGCGATACGTATAAATCCTGGACTGGTTAACGGGTCCATAAATTTTTTGGACCGTGGGCAAGCCTACAACGCTCCAGCGCCGAGTCTCGTCGGCCGAGTTTTCTGGCCGAAGCTCGTCGGTGCAGCTCCGATTCGACTTGAGGATGCTCAACCTTAACTGGGTAAGTGGAGATCGTCAGCTGCACGCAGGTGACCGATTCTGCAAGGATTCGTTCAGTTTTCTTGCATTTTCTTGCTGAAGTCTTCCCGTTGTTTTAATTCCATTATTTTTTCTGCACTTGCTTCCTGGTTTCAGAATTGATTGCGGCTACCGCTGTCGAACGATCGTATGATCTTTCTGTCTGGCGGAAGCTCAGCAGTGCAGCTCCGATTCGACTCGGGGATTCTCAACCCTATCTGGGTGCGTGGAGTTTGTCAGCTGCACGCAGGTGACCGATTCTGCAAGGATTCGTTCGATTTGCTTGCATTTGCTTGCTGAGGTTTTCCTGTCGTTTTAATTCCACACTTTTGCTGCACTTGCTTTCTGGTTCCAGAATTGATTGCGGTTTCCGCTGTCGAACGATCGAATGATCGAACCAATCGAAACCTCGATGGCCTGTTTGTGGTGGAACGAGGTATGAAATTCGACCCGAAAGAAAGAGCAGCCCGCTAGATCGAACTCTCGTGGGGTCGTCTGCCCGAACGTGACCGACTCATCAGGTAGTAGATCTGGACGACCGGCCCATCCGGTACAGACTTCTAATCAAGAGTTCAATCGCTTTACTCAGTCAGAGCCATCAACGTTGTTCACTGGTTTGCAAGAAAGCAAGTCGTAAGTCCTGACCACGTCAAAGATGGGGCGAAATACTCAGCGGTTACAGTTGCCGGACGCAGACGCCGAGTAGTTTGACTTTGAACTTCGGCGTGGCTGTCGCACGAGCACGACACGTGGCAGCCGCAAGAAGAGCACCAACGCTCCAGCTCCGAGTCTCGTCGGCCTCGTTTTCTGGCCGAAGCTCGTCAGTGCAGCTCCGATTCGAGTCGAGGATTCTCAACCCTATCTGGGTAAGTGGAGATCGTCAGCTGCACGCAGGTGACCGATTCTGCAAGGATTCGTTCGATTTTCTTGCATTTCTTTGCTGAAGTCCTCCCGTTGTTTTAATTCCACTATTTTTTTGCTGCACTTGCTTGCTGGTTTTAAAATTGATTGCGGCTTCCGCTGTCGAACGATCGAATGATCTTTCTGTCTGGCGGAAGCTCGGAAGTGCAGCTCCGATTCGATTCGACTGGAATTGGGGATCCTCAACCCTATCTGGGTGCGTTGAGATCGTCAGCTGCACGCAGGTGACCGATTCTGCAAGGATTCGTTCAATTTGCTTGCCATTTCTCGCTGAGGTCTTCCCGTCGTTTTAATTCCACTATATTTTTTGCCGCACTTGGATCATTCTCGATCGAATGATCTTTCTGTCTGGCGGAAGCTCGGAAGTGCAGCTCCGATTCGATTCGATTCGATTGGACTTGGGGATCCTCAACCCTATCTGGGTGCGTTGAGATCGTCAGTTGCACGCAGGTGACCGATTCTGCAAGGATTCGTTCAATTTGCTTGCCATTTCTCGCTGAGGTCTTCCCGTCGTTTTAATTCCACTATATTTTTTGCCGCACTTGCTTTCTGGTTTCAGAATTTATTGCGGCTTCCGCTGTCGAACGATCGAATGATCGAAGCAATCGAAACCTCGAAGGCCTGTTTGTAATGGAACGAGGTATGCGGCAATTGAGGTGTTATGTGTCGCCCTAAATCGAGTCTTATTGGACGCTGTCGGTGTATTCCGCGGAATGGACGTACTTGAAACTAATGCTGAACGAGCACAGAGGAAGGAATTTACGCCGATGAGTCCCGAAGAATCCGAGGACGAGGACTACTGTTTGTAAGTACATTCCTGTGCTCATGCCTATCGCGGGACCAATTTACGTCTTATATTCGATTAGAACGGCTTGCTTTGAGATGCCGAAGGTCAGCACAACATGCAGCCTAGGATCCGACCTTGCATACCGGAAATGCTGATGTGAAAATTTTGATAGATTGTCACATGTGCCCACTTCTGTCCATATATTTTCCCGTTCTGTATATTTCCCCGTCATATTTTTCTTGTTTCTCCCGTTCTATGTTCATTCAGGCACCGGGAATCAGAAAGATTACAACCGAATGAATTTCTCGATGAGGATGATGAATTTCCTGCATATGGTCCTGGAATTAAAGACCTGCTCGGATCAAGAATGCCGACACAATCGGAGTTTGACCTCGCATTTAAGAAAGTAAGATACACAAATCGTTGGTGGTACAAAGACATACCTGACAACTACAGTTCGGAAAGCTATGAACATGTGTGCTTTTTTTGGGAGAATGAAGCCTGCCCATGGACTTCGAAAAACAAGTGCGGTGAATTCAGCCTCAATCTGGCATTTACCATGCCAAGACCGAAAGGACCGACAACTTGGAGACTGATAATTGTGTTTCAGTCGCTGCACCTAGCGATATCAAAAATCCTGGAAGAGAGGTTGAAGATGATGATCATGTTATACCTAGAAAGTCATAGTCACATGATACTTAAAAAGCGCAGCTTGAGAGGTGACATTCTGGCTATCCAGCTCGTTCTCGACGATCTGAGACAGCAGAAAGGAACTGGCATGTATATGAAGCTCCGCTTTGACTATGAATATATCTCCGGCAACATCCAGCACGAATTTCTCTGGGCCACATTAGCCAGTCTGGAAATAAACGAGAAGAGCTTGCGCTTAATTAAGGCCTTATTCAAAGACGCATTTACCACTACGATGTTTGCGAATGATGTTGGGCGTGATGTTCGTTTGACCAGAGGAATTAGACAAGGGTCTCCCTTAACTCCAGTGCTCAATTTGCTAGCCAAGGAACCTCTGATGGCGATGCTAAAAGATGGATTCGAGGAAGGATTTATCAAGAGACTGAACCTTGGAGCAGGAACGATTATCGATGTCGATTATTCTTTCTTCCCAGACGACATTGGCTTGTTCTTTCAGGTGGACGAATCCTCTTTCACGCACGTGAGGACTATCAATCAACTATACGAAATTGAATCTGGATCAACCTTCAACTACCAAAAGTCAACCATCTATATGCTGGGATTAAATGATGCTCCTGATTGGGTCAAGCAGACAGGATGCGAGCGAATATTTTCAGTAGAATTGTAGTTCACAAGCAGTTCAATATTTCGATAGAATTGCATTGAGTTTAGGCAAGCATTTACTCTTCATGATTCTAGTCTTCGAGAACTCTCCATGTCGATGTCCTCTAAATTACACGAAATTTTGGAAGGGATGCCCTTGCTTCATGTTTTCATCAAAATATATATGTTTTCATCCTCCATAAATTTATATCGGCTCTGTTCATGTTTCACAGCACTTCAAAGATGATCTTTGCCTCTTACTCTTCATTCTTTGCTTCGTTGGCTGTGAGCTTCATTACATATATCAATTTCATGCAAACATCCGCATGAGTTCAACAATTTTAAACTTACATTTCTTATTGCAAAAATTAGATGTAGACATTTCTCATCTCATAGATTTTCATGTATACCGGTTCTAGCACATTCTCAGGTTTATCGAAAGCGGCATGAGCCTTTGATGCCTTTTATCTTAGTCCTTACTTCTTAAGCTTTATGAGTTATTTGAGAAGGTGCTTCTTAGTGTTCACTTACATCATAAGAAACACATGTTCTTATTAAAATGACTCTGGCATCGCAATTACACTATCTGATGTCAATCAGTAAGAGATTCCTTTCAGGCTTGGTCCTTACTGGAAAGTGGATGACGTACAGATCCACATACTCTAGCCGGTCACTGTACGCACAACTGTAGTTAGGGAGAGATTAGAAAGAAAGTTCTACGAAATTCACAGTGAACAAAAATAATTCCTTGTGAGTTTCCCTATGGTCTTTTGCCATATTATTGTTCAGCACAAAACTGGATCTCATAGGCTAAGAATTGAGGAAGAACGATGATTTGATATTGATTGGAGTGAACACATTTGTAAGTTTTGTGACGGTAGAAATACTTTTTTGGAGTGAAACCCTCCCAAAAAAGTCCAAAAGGAATTTTCTCAATCGACGTATGAGTTTGATTTCGCGAAAAGCTTTCGACTTTCTTCTGGTTGGTCAAGATTGGTTTCTGTGGTTGATTGACATTCCACTTTACCTAAAGCTTTCTCGGAGAGCAGGAATCACGTCATCTGCGTGAGTTTGTGGAGGACTAAGCTTTGTTGTGATGAATAACTCTTCTCGCTTGAACATCCTCAAGAACCTCGCCCATCATGGATTCAGTTCTATACATAGAGGCAGTGTCGAAATGTCTGTACCCAATCTGCGTGATTATTACAATTGGGGCACAACTGGCCCTTAGCTTGTGTGTCAATCTGTCAATACAAATAAATCCAGGGATGCACACGAGTTTACTACGAAGAAATCATCTCTATAAGCACAAAACGTTACGAACTTCATGTACAACGTGAACTTAACCTTTGTCGTTGCATTTGTATTGACATAACGATTCGGAGCAGAGCATTGGAAAGCTCTATGATGCTTAAGAAGTCTCTAAGCCTGTAGTGACAAACAGAATAGAGGCAGCCATTGCATGTGCACTGTGTCCTTGGCACATAGTCAGGTGGCATGACATCAACCTGGCTCAAAAACGTGCTGAAATCACATCTCGGGATTGACTGTTTACTTCCATCTCTTAACTCTATAACCTCTTAACATGACACTGTTCTGATCTTCTGTTGCAGCACGAGCGTCTCCTTCCTAATTGAGAGTTCTTATGTTAAGTTTTGATTCAAACTGAGCCCACTGAAATCCGCAGCCAATATCAGAATGTACGCAAGGGCGGAATGGCCGACGAGAAACGGGCTCTGCAAAGTGAAAGCAGCAAAATTATGTTGAAAGTTGCTGCTGTGAGGTTACTGTGCAGTGTTCCTCGACGAAATGAGCGACATTCATCAGGTTTTTGTCAGATCGTAGAAACAAATACACGCTCCAATAACTCATAAACAGATGTACTATACTTTGACTATCCCAGCAGGCAACAAACTTCAGCATTCCACGCGCTCGATTTCAGGTGGTGTTAGTCAGATTTTCTACCAGGAGGCAAGAAGTCTAGTCTCAGTTATCTACACAGCAATTCAAATTTGACCAAATTCAAGCCAATCGATGAATTCTAAGTTTCAATATTAAGTCAGGAGCTGCACTCTAAAATGAGCCAGATTTCTCACTTACAACTTTGAGTCTGTCTTCTGGAGCAAAATATTCAGCCATTGGTTCCAGCGTGGCATTTTCAAATTATGATTCGACACAACAAACAAGCGACGAGGTGAAAGATGTATGACCGAACAATGCTGAACGAGTGATGAGTGGGCACACAAAAGGTGGGGTTTTATGCAGACGCCTTTCAGGTTCTAGACGTGTATGAAGAAATCAATATTTCTGTTTCCTGCTTGTCGTATATTTTTTGTTTTCAAACCTGAGACGTTACTGTATGTTGCATGATCATACTTGACACACACTTCCAGCAATTGAGAATTTGCAGGTTAGACGGAATAATAACATTTTGACCTTCCAAAGTCACACCTTCCGTAGCCATGCAGGAGATACTCCTTTCGTAAACTAATTTCTCTTGGATGTTAGAGGAGGAGCCAGAGTATACTTTGAGTAAGGAATGAGTTTCATTTTGAGTTTTATGTTTAAAAAAATTGATTTTCTAATAAATTAATGAGATTTTAAATTTCAAAATTCACTGTGTTTTTTGAAGTTTTTTTTCTGACAATTTTTTCACGAAATTACTATCTGATTTAATCCTCAACAAATTTTTACTTGTATATCAAATTTTAAAAATATTATATGATACATGTTCTAAGGTTTCAATTTTTATAGATAAATAAATTCATAAAAAAAACTTAAGTTTTATTTTCTTATTCATTCACATTAATGATATCATGGAGAAATCATATTCGAAGTGAAGATGATTTATTATATATCTTAAAATTAAATTATCAATCAACATCAAAACCTAAATTGAAATCTGCATGTACATAGACATTACAGTGCAATGTTGATTTTATTAAAAACCATATCAAAGAAAATTACCAAAAATCATTAAACATATATTACATTTTATTTATCTGCCTATTTTTTTATATCAACTAAAGATGAGAAAAAAGTTTTGATGTAAATTGGCAAGAATGTATTAGGTGTTCTTGGATTTCACATAAAATTTTTGTAATGATTAGAATAGATTTACTTTCTTTTATGTATAAAAAATAAAACTTTGGATTCTCTATTTGGGTAAAACCAAATAGTCAAGTTATCAAACAATTTTTACTATGTGATTTACAAGATACACATCAATATGTTATCTATATTTTCAAATAAGAAATATCGAAATATATCTATATTTATAAATATTCAATTTTGTATTTCCTATGAATAATTAGTGATCATGGACGTGATTCAACACTTGTGATGATGTTTGAAGAATTCGCCAGTCATGCTAAACCCACAGCAATACACTGTTAAAACTTTTTAATTCATATCAACAATCAATATTTACCATGTTTTTAAAGAAATCGACTGCAGCACTGTTAATAGACGTAGCCGATCTGCGTCGCTAGAACCAGGCCCTGTTCTTCGAACCAAGAGCCAGACCAGAGCCATGGGGAGGTACGAGCCCGGCCGGTCGCTGGAGTGTTTGTAAAAGCAGGACAATTCTCCCGTCGAGCCGCTGCTCTTCATATTTGGTCCTTCGGGCTCTGTGCGTGTTGCGAAAGAGTAAACGTTTGAACCCTGTTTCAATAATGATACGACAGCCGCGACGCTTTTTCTTCAAAACTTACAAGGGACGATACCTCAGATCGAAAAGCTCCGAGAACGAACTTTCTCGTAGAGACCACCGAAAGAGGACTGCCATCTTCCAAGGTTTTTGCTGTTACGAATTGCGACCTTCTTCTTCTCTAATCAATGGATCTAACGAGAGGTATTGGAGATCCCGACCGAAACGTCTCTGCGCTGGCAGTCTGTATTCCTGCTGAGTTGTGAAAACCTAGGCTCTTCATTGCGTCAACAGACTGTTCATTGTAATCATCTCTCCATCGATATTTTTTCAAGAACAGTTTCTTCTTTACCTGCATAAGTCAAGACCCGGAAAAGCTGCTGATGAATCGCGGAAGTACTGTTGTCTTAAGTAAAATTCACGGTAAGCAATGAGACTGCACACTTGTCGTGGTCCGCTCCAACAGTTGTAATCCCAATAAGATAGAAGGTAGATATTTTTTTTAAGTACATAGAGAATGGAATTGGATCCAAAGACTCAGGTTTTATTCTCAACAAGTCAACTGCATTTTACATTTTTCCTATAATACATGCAATTTCACCGGTGTCATGAAAATACACAGCCATGTTGGAGAAGACTAACAATCTCTGACTGAGACAATGTGTGCAATGTTCGGCAACAACCTGCACGCGGTGCCGCGGCCTGTCAAAGGGTACCATACCAGACAAAGGACTTCCATCCAATGGGAAGGGTGGAACTTTGTTTCCGTCAATGACGTGTAGGATGCATCCTCACTTCCTTGAATACATATCATAGTGGTATGATATGTCGAGACATACATATGAGTTTGATTGCATCAAGGTCAACTGCGAAAGCTATTCAGGTGCAGAGTTCACAGATCATTTCTCTACCGTCAGACAAATGGAGATGACCTTGGAGAGTAATGGTGAGCTTCAAGGGAGAGGACGGCGAAAAGAAATGAAAGTCGTTTGCCAAGCACAGCGATCGGTGGAATTTTGTAACAGGCGATGTTGTTGTCTTCGACCAATTTGAGCTTCACGAACTTTAGCTCTAGATCACGGGTAGAGAATATAGAGCTTAAAAATTAGATTCTTGAACTTGCAGATTGATGTATTTGAGCAGAAGTCTTCATTTATTGCAGCTCAAAACCAAGGATGGCTGTGACACACATTGTCGTGAATAAAATCGAAGCAGTAGGTTGACGAGTGTCCCGAATCGGAATATCAAAGTAGAGGAAGAAGTCAAGAATCTGATTGTGATAGATCTCTCGTTCCAAGTGTTTACAGCAAGGTTTGAGTATATCTCTTCCGTAAGCTTTAATGTAAATAATTGGATTTCAGCGAGATTCTTTGTCGAAATCTGGCAAGTCAAAATTACACTGGCGATACTAAATCAGGGTACGGGTATACTTTCAAAACATATGAATCCCTCTTCTCCAGTTATTTGTATCATTGTATTCACTAACATGAATTCATCTTCTACTAACAAACAACTCGTGGCTTTTGTCTAGAAAATGGCTATACATCAGCACACAGCATGCACATGTTTTTAAAATCTAGACATCA